GTAACCAAGAAGGTCAAGGTAGGAAGCCAGTGCATTGATCCAGGCTAGGGAAGATGGTGGCTTGGTTCAGGGTGGTAGCTTGGAGATAGCTGGACATGATTTGTAATCCAAATAAAATTTTTGAAAGTAGAAGTAACAGAACTTGTGGGTCAAATATGAAAAGAATTGAGGATGACACAATGGTTTCATTCTGATTGCTGAAAGGATAAAAGGACTGGTTTGGCAGGAATAATAGTAACTTAGTTTTGAACATGTGAAGTTAGAGATCTAAATGGAGATTTCAAATAGATGAAGACATACGGCCTATCTGGAAATGATAACTATCACCATTTAACCCATTTTGAACAATTCTTTTGTCCCAAGCACTTTTACCAAGGGCTTTATTAATATTAACTTAATCCCCTAATGAAGTTTGTGCTCTTAGTCCCATTTTACAGGTGAGAAAATAGAGAAGCAGATTAATTAAGTAATTTGACCCCAGCTTCAGGTTGGAGTCTATCCTGTGAGCCTGGCAATCTGGATTTAGGGCCCTTTAAGTTTCATAGGAAAGGAGAAGAGGCAGATTTTGATCTTCCTTTTGCTTTATTCTTTGTTGGGTGGATGTGATTATAAAGCATAGTGATGGCAGCAACCCACTGCTGTCTGGCTCAGGCATCAAAGGTCTGGCCCCTGGGAGAAGAGCCAGATCCAGGCTCAATAAAGATGCTTTTTCTCTCATTTCAACTAAGCTTATGGCCTAAGGACATTACTAAGAATCTAAAGAAAATAACTCATCCAAGATTTTGAAACTATCAAGAAAGCATATTAGACCAAAGGAGGACAGTTTATGAGCTATAGGAACTTTGCCTGTCCCCATCACATTATTCCTAGTTTCTCTTTGAAGAAGAACAAGTATGAAGAGCCAATGTGAAAATAATTAGAATAACTTCCTTTTTGACTAATCAGTCTTTTTTTGATATGTGGTTTTAATGAGTTTCAGTTACTATTAAATATTTACAAAAATATTTAAAATGTATATTAAATTATAAAGAACAACACCTAGTTTTTAGGATATTGTCATCCCACAGAAGTCCCCCTGGATTGCATTCCTGTCTTCATCATACCCTTTTTCCTCTCCCCTGTATCACCACCTCCCTGAGCTTCATGATAACAACTACATTGCTTTTTTTTTTTTTGACAGCTTACTACCTACATGTGCATCAAGAATGATATAACTTAATTTAGGCTGGTGTTGAACTTTGAATAAATGAAATAATGCTGTAGTTATTATTTTGATTTGCTCCTTTAACACATTATTTGTGATCTTTGCCCATGTCATTACCTGTAATTGTAATTCCTTTAGTTTTTGCTGCTCTGTATCCTGCTACATTAATAAATTAATCATACACCTTGATTAATTTATCCATGTTGTTCTTTTATTGATGGACATTTGGGTTGATTCCACTTACTGACAGTTAAGAATATGCTTTAATGAGAATTTTTGTTTTGTTTCATTTTTCCCTGAGTGTTTTAACCTATATCCTATTGAACATGTGCAAGTGTTTTTTTCATATGAAAAAGTAGGAGGGGAATTGCTGCATTGTGGGATGTTTTCATCATCAAGTTCATCAGATAATACCAAATCATTTTCAAAAGCAGTTCCTATTTATTCTCCTACTGACTATATCTATGGTTCCATTTCCCTGCCTAGGTTTGGGACTGTGATGCTTCTTTTGTCAGGAGGAGGAAGAAAGGAAGGAGAAAAAATACATTTTCATGGATTTCTTTTCAGTTACTATGCTTGAGATACCTTGGGATTTCACATTTGACAAGTAAAATCTTTTACAATTTCTGGGAAATTCTCAGCCAGCATTTTTTCAATTTTTGCCCCTCTCCTATTTTCTTTCTTTTAGGAGCTCAGATTAGATATCAATGAGAGAAGGTCAATCTTCCCTCCATGTTTTTATCCCTCTCTCATATTTTCATTATTTTTTTAAGGAATTTTTTTATTATTCTTTCTTTTTCTCTCTCATATTTTCATCCTTGGTCTTTGTTGTCCATTCAGTTTTGTGATTATGGTAGCATAGTTTTTCTTCTCCGGAGATTCATTTAGTTCTTTTTGAATTCTCCATGCTCCTTTTTCATATTCTTAATTTCTTGTTTCCTGAAACTTTTTAAACATAGTTATATTTTCTGCTTAATTATTCTAGTGTCTGGATTATTTTCGAGTCTGATTCTGATTCTGTCTATGCCCTGCTTCCAATACCTGGCTTGCCCCTGTCATGGCAACTTTATTTCTTATGTATTTAGTGATTTATTATTTATATTTACCAGGTGCACATTACTTAGGGACATTCTGCCTCAGAAGCCTGGTTTAAAGATATCTTCCTCCAGAAAGGACTAATATATGCTTTTCTTGAGAAACTGAGGCCACTATTAACTGGGAATATTTCAGCTAAAGTCTCAGACTGGAGGATTTTCAGGCCACAAAAGCAGTTCTAAATGCAAAATCTTTGTGGGGACAGGTGATAATATTTTTTTCTCTCTACCCTGGACCCAAACCTAAGGCAGACCATTTTCTTTGCTATCTCCAGCAGGAGAGTACAAGTTATTCCTAATTTATTCATTCAGTCTGTTGGGAATTCTCATTTATGCATCACATCATCTGTTAGATTTCCATCCTGTATTGGCCCTGGGTTTTTTCTCCTTCACCTTCTTCACATGAGACTTAAAATACTCAGATTTGGGGCTGGGGTTGTGACTCAGTGGTAGAGTGCTTGCCTGGCACATGTGAGGCACTGGTTTCAATTCTCAGCACCACATTAAAAAAATAAATAAAAGTATTGTGTCCATCTATAATTAAAAAAATATTTTAAAAAATACTCAGACTCAAGGGTCTCTGGTTTATTCACAATCCTCAGGGTGCATGTGAAAAATCAGGTTGTATGCTCTGCTTATGTTTCTGTTTCCACCTTTTATTTAGCCTCTGTTAATTCCTTGTTCTCTTGCTAGCCCTGTAATATGTTTTAAATAATATTATTGCATTTTGCCTAATATTTAAAATTTTCCCTTGGATATAGGTCATAGGTTTTGGGGGGTTTGTTTGTTTGTTTGGTTTTGGTTTTTTGGTACTGGGGGTTTTTGGTACTAATTTTTGTTTTGGTTTTCTGGCTAGGATAAGTGACTGCATCTCTTGGACAGTTTCTTAACCTCTGAATTTTTTTCCCCTCTGTATGAAATAAGACTATTTCCTGCTTCTCAGAATTGATAGATGAAGCTACCAGGAGCACTGTACCACTAAGTTACACTTCCAGTCCTTTTCTATTTTCATCTTGAGACAGAGTCTTGCTAAATTGCAGAGTTTGGCCTCAATCTTATAATCCTCCTGCCTCAGCCTCCAGAGTTTTCTGTGATTAAGACATCTACCACTACCTACTAATATAGACTATTATAGAATGATTTATGGTGCTTCTACAAACATGACCAACAAATATTGAGTGCCTGATATTATTCTAGAAATGGGAGTATAAAAGTAAATAAACATCCCAGTTTCCTAAGGAGCTTGAGTTCAAATATGGAAGGCATGTTGGTCAGTAATGACTCTAAGGGAAATAGAGCAGAGAAAGGGACTTTGCATCTTTGGAGACAACAGCTCAAGAATTTGAAAAGGAGGTGACATTTTTAAAGAAAAGAAGATGTGAGCTATGAATCCTCCAGAGAAAAGATATGTTTTATAAATGCCTAAGAAAATAATGAATGCAAATTCTTCCTTGTGTTATACTATGTCAGAAGTATTGCTGTTTGTTCTTTTTTTTTTTCTGGTAAATCATTACTTTCTCTTTGTGTTTCTTAATCTAATTGTTGTTTTGGTTTTCTGGCTAAGAGAAGTGATTGCATCTCTTGGAGAGTTTCTTAACCTCTGAATTTTTTTTTCCCTCTGTATGAAATAAGACTATTTCCTGCTTCTCAGAATTGATAGATGAAGCTACCTAAAATTTGTGAAAGGTCTGACGTTTGAATGGCTACTCAATAAATGGTAGTTTCCTTCATTTTTGTTCCTTTCTAGTTCACATTCTTTTCAGCACTCTATGGTAAATTTGTAGTGATTATTCTTAAGCAGCACCATGGAGAAAGCATGTGGTAGGTAGTTAACTGAGGACAATTAAGAGAATTAGAAAGTTTGATATAAAGAGAAAGAAAACACACAAAACAGTTTTTGTGTGGGTTTGAAAGGCTGACTTGGTATTCTGGGATAAGGAGATAAAGCCTAGTTCTATGCATTTCTCCCTTAAAGATATTTGTTGCTGTATCACAGCAGGCCCAGTAAATCTCCATTTTAATATTTAACAGTCTGCAGAGTCTTCAGTTATTGTCAAAGTCAAACCAAGCATGGGCATATCACATACATGTACAAATATGGTTTCATATCTATTCTTTTTTTAAATTAATTTTTGTTTTTTAGTTGTTGATAGATCTTTATTTTATTTATTTATACACGGTGCTGAGATTCAAACGCAGTGCCTTACACATGCCAGGCAAGTGCACTACCACTGAGCCCCAGCCCCAGCCCCTCATATCTACTCTTATCCATTAACCCAAACTTGCTCTAATTTTCCAATGTCAATTGGTGAGCTTTTTTGAGATTATTGGTGTGCCACTAAAAATAAAGGAAATGTAAGGAAATGGTGAAACTGTAAGACTTGTGTATATTGGGCTTAGATGAAGCTGAAATCTAAATTTAGAAATAAAATTAGATCCTAGAGTAACATACTCCTATGAGATTTTCTTTCATTCAAGTGTCTGGAGACCTGAGTTTTAGTGCTGATTTTGATAGCGTCTCTTCATGGGATCAAAGTCAGTTTTCCCTATCTGTATCATAAGAAATTCTTCCTGTATTTCTTACCTTGTATGGCTATTAAGATTTCAAAGGATCTAAGTGACAGCAAAGCAAGACAAGCACTAATGATAAACAAAGGACAGCTATTCATATTGTGTCCTCTTGGCTTTTGGTCTGTTTTCAGCCCTCCCATTGACCATGCCCTGCTGGACATGTCCTTCTTTTGACTCCTTGAGGAGATGCCCTCTGACCTCTGAGAGCAGCTGGACAACCCACTCTGAAGACACTAGCAGTCCTAGCATTGGCCCTTCGCACACAGACCTGCAACTTGTCAATGCTGAGGAGCAGACAAGTGGTAGAGCTTCTGGGGCTGACTCAACTGGTAAGCTAGAGCTCCAAGCACTTTGCAAATCATTTAACATTCCCAGGTCCTCTTTAAGGCCTCTTTAATCTCTACAACCAGTCTTGTTTGCAGAATGAGTTCAGGGGTAGTCATCTAGTCAAAAAGCTAGCATCCAGAGTGGTTTGAAATTACACTAGGAAAATGTATAAACAGATTGACTGATTGGTTGGCTGATTATTCATTTTGGGAAACCATTTGACAGCATATCTTAATGTGTTATTTTCTTTTGGCTTGGTATAAGCACCATTTCTGTCGATTTATTTTCTCCTTGGATTACTAAAGTGTGTGATATGCACAAGGCTGAATCTTTCATCCTACCACCCACGCGTCTTGCTTCTTCAGCAGCAGGGAGGTGAATTTAAGTAAAGAGAAGAAATGTTAGGTTAAGCAGAATGAAGATCAGGACTCAGCCACTGTATTTAAGGATACACATCATTTTGCAGTTAAATGCTTATTCTGTTGTCTTATAATCGGCCTCTATGTTGGTGTGTGATGTCCTATGGGCTCATTTATTAAACTTTCCAGGAGGCATAAGATAAAATGCTAATTGTATTTGCATGTAGAATATGGACCTGCCAACAAGCATTGCATTATGGGTGAGACTTGGAATGGTATTGGAAAGATATGTGTTCTTTGTTCTTGGTTATTTGGCCCAAAGGATTGTTTTCCTCTGAAAGTGATAAAGAGTTACTGCTAGTTTCTGTGTTGAAGAAGTTATACTTATGTCAACAAAATTCGTTTTTCCTTTTCAAAAATATTGTTTAGGAGTAGTTCTTCAGATCATTTTTTAAAATTTGTATAACATTTGCCCTCATGCTGTGTACTCTTGGGTTCTAAAAATATTAAAAATGATCCTTCTTGTAGACTAAAGGGTTCAGACAGGATTTTTTTGGTATTTGATAAAATTACAAAGGATCCTAGTTCATTACAGGCTGTCTTCACAAACACAGTTCTTTACAGCATTTTGTCTTCACGGATACTTCTTCAATTCTTGTAAATCTGAAACATGACTTATAAGGATTATAAGCCTACAACCTCCTTTCTACTGTGGGGACCAGCTACTGGACTGGAAGGCCCTGGTACTGACTGAGACTGTTAGGAAGATGGACTTAAGCATACATCTTTATTCTTGTTGCTCTTGTTACCCTCAGCCTCCTTTCTAAGGCTTCCTGGGGAGGAAGTATACATATTGGTTTAGAGTGTCTGATTCTAGAGTCAGACTCAGGTTTAAGTCCTGGTTCTGCAATATACCAGCTGTGTAGCCTGGGGCAACTTCCTTACTTACCCCCCCACCTCTTACACCCTGTCTTACTAGGCTGTATCCCTAGGTACAACCCCAGCCCAAGATCCTTACTATTTTTATGACTCAGTTTCCTCCTCTGAAAAATGGGGATAATAATAGTATGAACAACTCCAGTAAGACAATTTGATGCCTGATACAGAATTATAATGATGTCACTTCTTCCCTTTTCTGCTGCAGGGTTCTTATTGCTTTGGAAAAATGCAAAATGGACCCCTCACTGAGGAAAAAGTGAGAACCTCTAAGTTCAGACTCCTTTTTTCATTGGCCTCTATACTTTCTCATTAGATGAAGTTTGCTTTAACTCTTGGAGGTTTAAGTGATAAAAATCAATGTCCTAGCCTCAATCTGATGACCACCTCCTTTTCCTCCTCCTTCTCATCATCATCAAACCCAGGATATGAGTTCGTTTAACCACTGAGCTATAACCCAAACCTTGAACTGGACATTATTAACCTGTCTCCAAAGTTTTAAATTATTTTTAGTAACTCCCTTTTCTAAAGTCATCTTAAGTGTAACAGTTCACATCAAGAAAACCTCTTGCCTGGTCCCTGTTATTTTGGTCAGGGTCCTGGCAGGAAGCATATGGTACCCTCAAAAGGGTTATTTGGAGAGGATTTAATGTAGAGAATGCTTACAGAGGAAGAAGAGTTGGAATCAACAAAGAGCCAATCTGGCCTCTCCCTGGCTACACAGTGTATAAGGATAATGGCTAAACAGATGCTTTGTTCATCATCTCTGTGTAGAAAGGCGTTCTGATGCCCCAGGTGAGCCTGTTTCCCTTCGCCTCTGTTGGTTGGTAGTGGGCTTCAGTGAACTGAGGTGCACCTTCTTCTCTGTCATCTGTGCAAGAGTTCTGCTGGGATTTGGCAGCTCTATAGGACATTCTGATGCCCAGCATGGTTGTGGAGGGAAAGACTCTGTGATCAGCCTACACTTTGTTCTCATTTTCTCACCAAGGGTATAATTAGAGGAGGAAGGTAAACAAATCCCCTCACTTTGGTTAGAGTGTGGTATGGAGCTGAAGAGTGGTGTGGATGTTTGCTCTGGGGTTCTACTCCACAGGACAAACAAATGGCAGGAAAATAGGAATGGGTAAGATTCCCCAAAACACTCTCTTCTCTCTCACCCATCTCTGCAGCTTCCCTTGGCCTAGATGAGATAGGTACAACCCTGTCATCTTCAAAAGTCACAGTAGCTATGTAATGCCACTGGGTTTACATGGGTTTATAAACAGTAAGAGGATCAAGGAAGTAAAAACAAGCCTCTGTCTTTGAAATCCATTCGAACCAGGGAAGGAAAAAAAATTTAAATATTTGCAATAGCACAAACTGCTGTTGAGTGCTAGGCTTTGGTTTGAGTTTTCTTTTACATATAAGAAAAGTGTAGATTTAAGTGTGGGATTAGAATGTGCAGATATATGCAAACTAAGGAGTATCAAGACTGAATGAAGCACATAGCAGATGTTTTAATGATTGTTGAATGGATCCTTGAATGAACAGTAAGAGATTGCAGGTAGAAAGAGTCATATGAATCCCAGACTTTTGTATCTCATTCATATTTAAGAGTCTAGTATTCTCCAAAGTATATCCCATGAAGATGCCCAAGAAAAACCAGGATGTTGGGGGCCTATGTGTTAGGTCTTGCTGTGCTCCCTATGTTGGAGATAACATACATTAGCTTATTAGGGATTTGAAAAAGTCCTGAAATGATTTTCATGAATTAGGTGTATAATTTACTTATGTATGTGTGTGTCTATATAGTTATATATTGTATATACTTGTGTGTATGTGTGTGTGTATTTAGTTTACTACTTGGTCAGATCTCAATGTACAGAAACTCAAACACATAAATTGGTAAATTATACTTGGAATTACATGCCTTTGCTAAAGTGTTGGAAAACCAGAAAACTTGGAGGAAAAAATTTTAAAGAGCATACCTGGGCTATTTAGCTTTATAAAATTAGCTCCCACTTTGACCCATGCTCTGCTGAACCTCTTGGCCTCTTAATTTTTTTTTTAATTGTAGATCCCACAAACCTAAGACTACATTTTGTCAAACTTACTTTGTATGTAAAACTTCATGGACTTTAAAACAAATTTAGACCAGATGTTCTTGTTTCATTCTCATATAGCTGATTGTGGAATTCTGCCAGAGCAGTAGGTTATCCCTAGATATTTCAGACTCATGTTTTCCTCAGATATAAGCATTTATATCAGGTAGGGAGGTGTGGACTAAAACCCCCAAGTTTTGTGATAATGACTTGTTAGCTGCTCAGGAAATTTCTCTTTTCATTATTTGTTCATCCACCTTGAGGCAGGGCTGCCTGTCTCTTTACAGCATGATTCTCTGTTGCCTGCTTTGTTCTAATCCTGGCAGAGCTTGAATTAGAATCAGCGGCCCAGATTCACAGGTAAATAGTGCTTATCATATTCGTGATGGGTTTACAGGGAACTTCTGTTGGCACGTCTGCATTTTCTGATTTTTTTTTTTTAAACTTTGAACATACTTTTCTTGGAAGAAAAGACAAATCAATAGTTTTTTTTTTTAATTCTTTCCTCTAGCTGCAAATTTCTGAAATACTCATATTCTTTTTGAACAATATGGAAGAGTAGCATAATACATTTTTTAAAACAAATTAGATCTTTCATGAACAAATACAAATTTTGGCCTCATTTCTTTTCCTGTATATTCTTGTGTCCATTAGTTGTGCATTTTGGATTTTAATCAGAATTAAAAAACAAAAACATTCTAATGGTTGCTTTCTTTGAAAGTTTCTCCATAGAGGTTTGGAAGTTCCTCAGAATACAAAAGTTTACTGAGTTCCTACCATATAACAGTCACTGAAAATGAGAAGAAAAGTAAGTTATGTGGTATTTTCCTATGAAGAACTGATTGCCAATAAACAGATTATTTGCCAGTAAAAGGATTTCTATATATAATTTTTAAAATTATGTCTAATAATACCATATCTCTATGTGCCAGGAATGTACTAAACACTTTATACATATTTTATCTCAATCTTCACAATCTTGAAAAATTACTCTTCATTTTATGGATGCAGAAACAACAGCAAAGTCATAGCTAGAAAAAGGTAGAGTTGGGATTCAGTCAAAGTCTCCCTCAGCTCACTCTGCCCTGTGCCTGGTGTGCTGTGGACAGCTGGTATCTTCAGATACAGGGAGTTGTGGGAAGGAATCATTGCAGAGCCTTTCACAGGCCTGGTGCTGCTTCCTCAGCACTTCCCAGGAGCTACATGCAAACTTCCCTTTGTCCTTCACTGAACCATGAAGGAACCATGTCCATTTTATATCCCCAGCACACTGCCTAGCAGAGTGAAATGACACAGTAGATCTTTGTGGGATAAATCAGTTGTTCTGATATAGGGCTAGAGAGCCTTCATTCCCAAACTTATCCTCTAAGTACATAAACTTAAGTGTGTTTGCTCATTGAAAAGTAATTTTATGACTGGAAGAATGAAAAGAGAACAAGTAGGGATTAGTATGTTTTCAAGTATTAGACTTTTATCCAGGAATTCCCATTCATTTTGTTTTTCCTGATCTCAGTTGAACTATAAGTTTTGTTTTGTTTTACCTTAAAGATCAGTGTATGTGGATATGTATGGTGGGCAGTTGAAGGACTATTGCCTAAGTTTGGATAATTCACACTCTTCCTCTCCTATACATTCTTTGACCAGAGTAGCTACATTTTACTTCCCTGTTTATTCACCTCAGAGAATGCAAAGAAAATGAGTTGGGGAAAGTTTACCATGATATTAAAATTGTTTCTTCTTATTGGGACCACATGAGTGGAGGAAAATCAAGAAAGAGCTTCAGCGTTTCAGATGCTGTCTTCCAAACACATGGTCTAAGATACATATTTTGGATTCCCTTAATAAAATCCTTTGGTCCCTAACCAGGGGTTTTGTAAGTCACTTTTAGAATTGCTCATGCACTAATCTTGAAGAGGAGGTGACAACTGAAATACCTGTTTGATTACTTCTATGATGTTGTTCTTGTTGCTGCAATCCTCCTTTATGGATGAAGACAAACATTGTTCAAAGTCACACTAGTTAGAAACAAAATAAAGATGAACACCCAGGCTCATCGATATTGTGCAGCTCTGCCCCTCCTGCGTCTGGGCTCCCTGGAAGGACCTCTTTTCTGACCCAATTCTACAGGGCCACCTTTCAGATGCTGTGTCTTTCCTTTACAAGCAGGTGATCAAAACTAGGTATTTGGAACCACCTAGAATCCAGAGGGGCCATGAACTTGAATGATTGACATGTTCATTGTTTCTAACTCTAAGAAAGTTAGTATATTGAGCAATTCCTTCAGTTATGGATATGGGCAATACACCATAGTAGAATTATCAGTGCCCTCCACTTAGTCACCAACAAAGATCACAGATATATCCATAACATATTTTAGTAGTGACAAATATCTCAAACTATCACTCATCTTTTATCATTGCTACTTTAAAATTATAGTAGTTATTGGCAATATTAATGGTTGTATAAGGGTAGTATTAACACACTAGTACTAATGTGTTAATAAAGAAGTGCACGTATTATTATATCAAAAATTCATGAAATTGTTTTTTAATGTTGGGAAAGTATTTTACTATAAACAGTTTTTTTTTTTTAAGTCCTATGTCCTCATTCGTGCACTTAATACACTATCTTGAGAAGGAGGCTGTGGGACTTATTAGACTGACAAAGAGTCTGTGGCACAAAAATAGTTAAGAACTCCTGCTTTGATGACACTCTGATACTCTCACAGTGAAGCACAGACTGTGATTTTACACTAATCGATTCACTTGTGATACAGATGAGGATCTACTTGGACCAACCACTGGTCTAGGACTGTGTAATGATGAACAAGATAGACACGACACTGGCCTTCAGACATCTTGCAGTCTCATGGGGGCTCTGAATGTATCTGAGGGTAGGTAAAGACAACTAGAGAATACTGACAGGTTCTTTGATAGGACAAGTTGAGTGAGTTGTATGATGTGCAGTTGGAGGATTGCTGCCCTAGTTTGGATAACTCACACTCTCCCTCTTGTATACATTCTTTGACCACAGAGTAGCTACATTAAGGTGGAATGTAGCTTTGCAGTGCATCTGGAAATGCAGACAAGTGCTCTACGCAAGGTTATAAATGTCAACAACATACTAGCCCTTCTTAGTGGCAGCACCAGAATTTTGGTTGTTTTCTGTGAATTTGTTGTTTGACTTTTCCTTAGTTGTACTTGGAATGCTATGTGTAGTATTTTTCCATGACTGCCATAGCAAAGTACTACGGCTTGGTGGCTTAAACAACAGAAAGGCATCTTCTCACAATTCTGTGCCTGGAAATCCAAGATCAAAGTGTTGGAAAGTTTGGTTTCTTCCAAGGCCTGGCTTCTTGGCTTGCAGCTGGCCAGTCTTCCTGTGGTCTTCATATGATCTTCCCTGTGTGTCTGTGGCTTTATGTCCTCTCTGTAAAAAGGCAGTTATACTGGATTATGGGGGCACCATACTGACTTGATTTTAACACCTTTAAGTACTTTATCACCAGACATAGTCACATTTTGAGGTCTATTTACTTGGAGGGGTTAGTTAGGTTTCAACAGATGAATTTGGGGGGGATATAGTTCAATCCATAACACTATGTAAACAAAACTTAAAGTCTCCTTCCATCCCTGCCAAAGATGGCCAGATTGGCACTGTAAGCCCATTCTGTATAGTATTTCTGCAGCATCAGAAGCAATACCCCTTGCCATAGAAATGGAATTTTGGATCTGATACTCCATTTATAGCCACTTCCCACAAATGCAGTAAGGAGAAAGAGTTGTTGTTGACCAATGAATTCTTCAACCAGCCTTTTCACCCACTTATCTACAAAATGATTTGGTGTTTCACCAAGGAGCTAGTTTATCCTGCTGGACTCTTTGGCTTACATGCCAATTCAAAACTAAATATGTTAGTTCACAAAAGAAAAAATTCAAAGAAACCATATAAAATGATTAATCCCAATAATTAGGCAAGCAGATTAAACAGTAATGTCTATTGTCTTGGTAAAGTTGAATGATTGAAAATATTTAGAGTTGGTCCTGGAGAGATGTGAATTCACATGCAAGGATAATGGAAAAACATTTCTAGAGGGCATTCTAGAAATCTGTATAAGTTTAAATGTCATATTGTAAGTATTAGTTTATCCCAAGGAAATAATTAGACACGTGCTTATGTGTGCAGTGTAGCACTGTTAATATTAACAAAAGCAAAGAAAGCCCAGCTGTCAAACCAAATAGCAAAAAAATTATAATGCGGGGCTGGGGATGTGGCGCAAGTGGTAGCGCGATCGCCTGGTATGCGTACGGCCTGGGTTCGATCCTCAGCACCACATACAAACAAAGAAGTTATGTCTGCCGAGAACTAAAAAATAAATATTAAAAATTCTCTCTCTCTCTCTCTCTCTCTCTCTCTCTCTCTCTCTCTCCTCTTTCACTCTCTCTTTAAAAAAAATTATAATGCATTCTTATCATGGAATGCTACGTAGTCATGGAAGATATCCTGATTATATTGCTCATTGACAAGGAGGATTGTTGAATAGAATGTGTAATTGCTTTGCTATATTAGCTTTTGTATAGTTTTGCTGTTTTAGCATGTGTACGTGTGGGTGTCTCTAAAATATATAGAAAAAAGTTTGATAGGCTCAAAATTGCTAATAATGGTTATCTTGAGGATGTAATATAGAACTGTTATTCCTTAGTGCATTTATTTCTATAGGATATGAATTATTTATAACCATAGATTAAAAATCAGAAAAATAATAATCAGAAATTATTTAGAAATGAAATTAAATATGTTACTGAAGGTTATTTTACAATATCTTTTGTGATAAATGTGTTGGTGTGTTTGGAGGCTGATCTATTTAATGGGAGGTGGAGGCTGGCCTTTTTGCTCTTGGAATATTTCTCTTTTCTGTGTAAAAAAGCCATGTGCTTATGTTTAACTTTTCATTGGCACAATGCTAGTTCTTATTCTTTGTCAGAAGCTGATATAACATAATGTAAAGCCATCATCTTCACAGCTTGACAAACCAGGGTTTAAAACCAGTTCTAAGCTGGGCACAATGATGTATGCCTATAATTCTAGCAACTCTGGAGGCTGAGGTAGGGAGGATCACAAGTTCAAGGCCAGCCAAGGCAACTTGGCTCAGTAACTTAGCAAGACCTTGGTCTCAGAAGTGCTGAAAATGTGGCTCAGTGATAAAGCACCTCTGGCTTCTTCTACCTCTTGTACCAAGTCATTTAACTTCAGTGACCTTTAGTTTCCTCAACTGTAGAATGAAAATAAAAATAATAATAATGTAGATTTTTTTTTAAGAATTTAGTAAGATCAGACTCATGAAATTCCTGGAACATAACAAGTAGTAGCTTTTATGAGGATAGCATTATAATGTGCTTTTCAGAATTCTTCATATTTTGAAGCCAGGACTTAGTGGAAAGAAATTTTTTGAAAGTTGCAGGAAAACAGCTAAATCTATCTAGAAAGTTTTCTTTTATGCTCTTGCCTAGTTTTTTTATAAACCATCTTTACCAAAGGGTGGTTTCTTTTATTCTTTCAGTTCTCATGACTCAGGGTGGGTTCATCCAACATGCTTTGTGAAATAGCTGGTATCTCTGGCATTTTGCAGCAGAACTGGATCCAGAAGCTTTTCTGAGAAGAGTTGGAAGGAAGGGGAGGGCAGAGGAAGGAGGGCTAGGTGGAGAAGGGAGCACTCTAGGTCTGCTTGCTTGTGTGGTCTTTCCTCCCCTTCTCAGGACTGATTTGTTTGCACAAATTTGTTGCCTCCAGCAACACATCAGTTTGAGCTGGAATGATCCCTAGAGACTTACCGCCTTTTTTTTTGTCTCATTATTTTCCTCTTCCCACAGGATGTTGGAATTGAGGGGCATTTTCCACCTTGGAGAATTTCATTCCAGTTCCCTCACCTTTCATTGAGTGTTTGCCATGTGCAAGGCACTATGGCATTTCAATGCATTTCTAAAGCAATCAATTGCAATTTTTATTTTCAGCTCTTGGACTCTGTCCTTCTTAAAACCTCAGTCCTGGTTATTAAGCAATGAAGATTATATACTGGTAAAAATATTCTCAATCCCTCCCTGTGACATAGACTGACCCTCTTAAAATAGAATGATATTCTCGCTCCATTGACATCAGGCTTTGCCATGTGACTTGCTTTGCAGTCACTGAAATGAAAGTGGAAGTGTCCCTCCCAGCACAAATATCCATGTGCTCCCTCTTCTATGTCAGAGCCATCCATTATTGCCCCACATATCTGCCACCCTCAGACCCCAGCTGGGACTCTTCTCTGGTGTCTTTCTGTTTTCACATGTCCTCATGCCCAATTTCTAGTACCCAGACCAGGAACCATTTCTCCTTGCACTGTGATGTTTCTGGGTGAACTCCAAGGATTCTAAAGAATTCAGAATTCTATTCAGCCTCTGGGTTGTCAAGAACACATGTTGACCAAAGAGGTTAGGACATTCTTCATTTAACAGTTTTTAGCTTAGTGTATAGCTTTACATACTTACACACATGTTCTGTGAACCTGCATCTGGACTCTTTTCAAAAGCTTCCTCAATTTGAGTGGTGGGTAGGAAGCAGGAATGCAGAAGTCAGGGCCTGACCACTCCTCATTGCCAGAAAGACTGGAAAATGTGGTATAGCTCTGTACCCTGAAAGAAAATGCAAATATTCATGAGAAATCTGTGTTACAGAAGTTATTCAAACTTGTAGTGCTTAATTCCCTGATTAGAGTCTCTTATTTAAGATCTATAGAAGTACTGTGTTTTTACACAGGTTTGAAACATATTGATGAGTTTTGACACATGAGCTCATCTTTATATTCAAGATAATGAGCATAGACACACACACACTCTCTCTCTCTCTCTCTCTCTCTCTCTCTCTCTCTCTCTCTCTCTCTCTCTCTCTCACACACAAGTTGCTTTGTCTATTTGTGATCCTTTCCTCTTGTCGGTAATCCCTCCCCAAGTACCCACTATCTGCTTTCTGTCACTACAAATTAGTTTACATTTTCAAGAATTTTATATAAATGGAATCATAAAGTAGGTTCTCTAATTTATCTGACTTTTTTTTACTCAACACAATTATTGAGCATCTCATTGATTTTATTTTATCAATAATCCATTTCTTTCTATTGATGAGTAGAATTCCATCATATTGTTATGGCACAGTGTTTTATCTTATTTAAAGACAAAAACAAAAATGAAAGTAACTTTTCAATGTTTAAGTAATGGGTAAATCATTTCTTCTTGATACTTTGCTGTGTAATCTGAAAAAGCTAAAAATAAAAATGTTCAAACTGTATTGGACAGGCCAGAAAGAACAGCTCAGAATATCTCCCACTTAACCCTATCACAAAAAAAAAAAAAAAAAAAAAAAAAAGGACTAGACTGAGCAGGAGCTGTGCTTTTCTTGGCTTTGAACTTTAAATTGGATAGACTATTAATCAAGTACTGGCCACTTAATATAGACCAAGCCTTCTGTCCTGGGGGCTTAAGAATACAGGACAAACAAGGTGGTTCATTTGTGGTTGAGAGGTCTTCATTGCCTTTTGCTGGTCCCCGGCCCCTGAAGCTGCAGTTTTCACTGTATGACAGGCTAATCCCAGCACAGCACATCTCTGGCCATATCCTTGCTATGTTGGTAAGCCTACAATGACTTCCTCTGCCTAAACTCTGATCTTCTTTCTCTGACATTCATGTCTCACTCTGAGGTTTAACTTTTCCTAGCCTCAATTTCTCATCTGTAAAATGGAGTATTTGGGGATGACTATTTCTTAAGTGAGATAATATAAAGTACCTAGTATAATGCCTGGTAGATATTCAGAAATTAGGGTTTTCTTTCCTTCTGCCCTTTTTCAAACACTTCCCACTGTCAAATGTGTTCTCCATTCAAACCAAACTCTTTTGTTTCCCATGCCCACATCCTCCCTTTGGACCTTGGTGTACAGTATTCCTTGCTGTGGGTCCGAATGCTATCCCTCAGTCAGGGTTCAGCTCAAAAACTATCACTTCAGGGAGCAGGCCTTGATTTCTTATCATGGCCCCATAAGGAATAGGAAAGACCAAGCAGCTTCTTATATTCTTGTTCTCAGTACATAATGCTTCACCTCTGGCCACCAGAATGTGTGGCTATTTATTCTCTACTTCTTTACTCTCCTTTGTTTTTTCTCCATTGCTTTTAACCTCCTTAACATTGTTTGTTTCTGATTGTCTGTTTTGCCCTTGTGAACTCAATGTGCACGGAGACTTTCTGCTTCTGTTGGCCTATCTCTAGTGCCTGACACATATGAGATGCTCAGTAATCATTTGGAAAATTAGTGAATATTCACTATCACATCATACTGTAATATATGAGATATTCCTAGAGGAGAAAAACAGTATCAGTCTCTGATTTATTGTTCAATTGCCTCAAACACATTGTTCATAATAGTATACAGAAAATACTTGCCTGGAAGACAGGTCAACCGTGAAGAACAAATTTCCCATGGTTTATATAATTCAACTTTAGTTCCTAGTCACTTTAGATACTTTTGCAAACATTGTCTCTTCAAAATTTAATATTCCAGTTAGAACCTTGCAACTAGGACAAGGAACTTTGGAAGGTTTTTACTATTTCTCCCACAGCCACCTTCTTTCCTGCCCTACTATAGTCCCTACCCTTTTCTCAACCCATCTTCTCCCTCATTTTGTTGCTGGTCACTCATTTGCAGTAAAACCCCTTTGCTTTGGCTTGCATTCATTCACTCACTCCAGTCTGAACCACCTTATATCTTTTAAACCCTGTTGACAATAGGCTTCACTCTCCCACTCAACAGCAGTCTGCCCTTGGGAAGTTATGCATCCCCTCCAAACCTGTTTCTTCATCTGGAATGTGATGGTCAGTGATTCCACTCTGCCTAACTACATCACAGGTTTTATTGAGAAATTAAATGAGGTATGAAATGTCAAGGAAACTTATCAACCACAACCATTAACAGTCAGTTGCAGGTATTATTTGAAATTACCCTTTCTCTACTATTCTGTAGTATGCCAAGTTTTGAGTCTCATTTTCACCTAGAATGTCTTTCTCAGTAATCTGGTTTTTTGGCGTCTGACTCAGCCTAGACCTGAAGGGCTTTTTCTCTTTCAGCACTTGTACCAATGGTCTTAGAATTTGATTCCTTGACCTACTGCCATACTCCTTTGTTCAGTTTTTAATCCTAACTACCAGACACTCATAACCTCTGGGCTGCTGGGCTCTACTCAAAAAACAAAAGATCTTAAATTAGTCCTATTGCCTATTCAAGAACTTTACTCCGTTCTTGAGAAGGTCTTAATTAAAGCTTATATAAGACTTGTTCCCCTAACTTTTCTTTCTCCACACCCCCCCCCACCCACTTCTTCCTTTTTTTCTCCCAAAGACTTAGGCAGAGGGGTATTATTTAGGGAGAATGTAGGCAATCTCAAGAGTGAGAAGCAGTCCTGTCTTGGGCTGGGGAGTCCAATATTTAAAGAAAGGCTGCATCAGGGGCAGGACTGGAGCTAGAGTAGAACTGCATAATTCTGTGCCAGTTTTAGTTTTCCCTGTGCTTGCATATTTCCCTCATTTTTCAAGGGCATGGGCCAAGGACATGTTACTCAAGATTTACAACTGTGCTTTCTTCCATCGTAATGGCTTGTGGGCGTTTCCTTTAAGATTCAGTATTTCTCGCTCTTTATTCTAAATCCCCATCTTATTCTCCATCCCCCACCTGAGACTTTGATCCCTTAATCTTAAGGGTTGGTGAGGGTTGAAGATCCATCTTCTATGGCTGCTTCAGACTGTCAAGAGGCCATGACTTTGCCTAGTTAGGAATCAAAAGTCTCGTCCTTCTTTAAAAAGACACTGGTCTCAGTTGCAGGGATGGGTTGAAATGCTTATGTTGCCATCCTCTTAACATGTAATTGTTTTAAACAAAGTTGATGTCTCTGATGCACCATGGTGGGCTCCAAGAGATATCACATGAGAAGAGATGTCTCCTGAGACGTTCCAAGAGTTCCCAGAGGTGAGCGAGGGCTCAGCTCTGGACCAGTGGAGTTCTTAGCATATGTGCTGAAAGGAATTTCAGCACAAGCTGACAAAGGCATAGATGGGTTTATTTAGGAAGGTAGGTACACATTCAATGGAGAATGCAGGCTGTCTCTAGAGTGAGAAGCCCCCTACCTTTTCTTCTTTCTTGTTCTTTCTCTCTTCTTTTTCCTCTTCCTATGACTACACAGAGTGTCTTGAAGAATTTCTTGGTCAGTGTTTATACAGAGAATGGGTCACCATTTTTAATGTTGACCTTTGTAACTAGAACTGCCAGCAAGTCTTCAGTTGAGAATAGCCAGCTCCCTGTGATGGATGCCTGGCTACTGTAGAACATTTCTTGCCCATCCACCTTGCCGTCTCCCAGGCTTCCTTCTGCCTTGTTTTTGCCTTAAGGCTGTCAGGGGTTCCTTGTTCATCTTAATTGTAGAGGTAACTACAAGCAAAGTATTCAAGCCCCTAAAAAGGACACATTCCTTTTTTTTCCCCCAGGTGCCCAGAATGGATGTTTTTGAGACAATTGGCTAAGAACTGGAAATAGAGAAAGAGGACAATGTGAAGCGCTTGCTTGGCCTCCAGAATATTGGGAGGAGGTTGTTGTCACTGTTTTAGAGATTTTAGAAGCTTAGCCAAGATATATTCTCCCTGTCTTCGTCTCTCTCTCTCTCTCTCTCTCTCTCTCTCTCTCTCTCTCTCTGTCTCTGTCTCTGTCTCTCTTTCAAACTGGGGATTGAACCCAGAGATACTTTAGCACTGAGCTATATTCCCATCCCTTTTTTATTTTAAGACAGTGTCTTGCTCAATTGCTGAGGCTAGCCTCCAACTTGTTATCCTCCTACCTCAGCCTCCTGAGTTGCTGGGATAACAGGCATGCACCATCACATCTGGAAGGATTATCATCTCTTAATGATTCAAGACTGGTTGGCAAACTTTTAGTACATTATCTACTTCCTCTGTTTCGAAAACTTCATAGTGTATGGTGGGACTTAAATTGTGTCCTAATATTAAGTAAAGAAGAGGAAAAACCAGTTAAGAAAGACAAAATGAACAGTCTTTCAATCAGTCTAATATTTTACTTCTCCTTTATGGAGCTTCTTAGACAGTACTTCAAGCAGAGAGGAAGAGGGTATTGGATTTGGCCAATTAATAAGGCCCTTCTAGTGACACAGGGACCTAGAGAAGGCTGGTTGGAATCCCACTTGGCTTTTTAGTATGACAGTCACATCTGGCCTCATTGCCATGCTAAACCTTGACACCCATTTGAATTGGGGTTTGCTTAAGAATCATGTGAGCTGTGTGGTAATCATATGTGGTATCTCTCTCACTCATGACCTTCTTGGTTTTAGAAGAAAAACTTTGTAAAGACATTTATATCCCTCTGCTTCCAAGAAGGAAAGGGAAGCAGTTTTAGAACAGGTGTACAAACCTAAATCTTTACACAGAAATCTGAATATCACCTGTCATAACAGGTGATCCCTCCTCTGATTTTTGAATGGCTAAGGTGAAAAAATGTAACTATAGAATATGTTTAAAGCTAGAAAACCATGTTGATGTCAACCAAGGAGCTCATTACAATAGGGAAGGAACTCAGCATCATCAGGGCTATGATAGGTCTATGTCCCAGGTGAAGCTTGGTGTTACTTGATGTTAACCATTCTCATCTCCTAACTT